TAAGTAAATTTTAACTGGAATTACAGTAGCATTACACTCTAATTGAAATACTTATTTACTGTAATACTACTTATGGAACATACTCATACAGGTTTGAAAAACATTTAAAGACTATCTTGAATATTTCTTTACAGGTGTCATACAAAAGGACAAAGAATGCAAAAGTTCTAAGGAAATAGAAGGAAAAAATATAGGTAAACAAGAGTTACAGTAAATTTTAACTGGAATTATAGTAGCATTACACTGTAATTGAAATACATACTTAGTGTAATATTAAAATTATTTTGAAAGAATTATACAAATTGATTCATTTGTTCACTTCAGTGTCTATAATCAAGTATCAAATTGATTGTAGTTGGATTTTTAAGTAGTTACAATTTATGTTTACTGGAATTATAGTATAATTTCTCTGTAATACAAATATATGTTCACTATAAATGGACTTATGAAAAAGATTGGGAAATACACTCTATGTTTCAGAACTTGCTGGTTTAGAAATTCAAAAGTTCTTTGCAATATTAATTTATTCTTTCTATGCAGGTGGCATACAAAAGGAGAAACAAAGCAAGAGTTCTATGGAAATAGAAGAAAAAGAATCAGGTGAACAAGATAATTTCAAATTTTATTCACAAATAAGAAGATTAAAATGAGTCTGAAATTTTTTAAAAAAATGCCATCAGATATAAAAAAGCACTTCAAAGCTCTGACAGAAATGGATACAGAGATTATAAGTCAATCAAATCTGACAGAAATTAACACAGCTATGTTGAGCTCAGGTAAGAAACAAAAAATTATGTAGTTCAATGTATTTTTTAAAAAAATGACAAACATCTAGATGATCTGAACTATATACTTTCAACTGGGTACTTTTTAAAATCTAAAATATTAACATTAAAACTAGTTACAGAGAAGAAGTAATAAAAATACATGTAACAATAACTGAAAATACAGTATCTATCTTGACTTCCTTCATAATGATTTTTATTTTGCAGGTATCACAATTGAATTGTCAGAAGGAGAAAGAAGTATTCACTCAAAACAAATTCAGAATATGAAACAAAGTATTTTGACAGAGTATGAAACAACTTTTGTAAACTCAGGTAAGATCTTACACAGGTATTCTTATTCTGTTTCAGAACAATTCTTTCATTACAGTTAATTTGTATAAAAATTACATAAAAAACTGTAATTCCAATACTAAAAATTTCAAACTGGAATACAAATTTACTCTAATTTTTAATGTTGAATCAATCAATCTATTGCAGGCATAACAGGTAATGAGGTAGGAAGAAGCAATGCTCTGGATGAACCAAACACAGGTAACAATTCAAAATGGAATTGAACAAATGCATAATTCCTTCAGTAAAAAAACACAAAATGCAAAAATTACAGTCAATTTGAAACAGAATAAGAATAATTTTAAACTTCAACTTGATTGTTATACAGTTTGACTGGAACCTATATATAATTTGATCACAATTACTTTAATTGCAAATATAACAGATCATATTGGATTAGGAGCAGAAGATGCAACAGTAGAAAAGCAAAGTATGGATAATTCAGCAAGTATGACAGAAGCATTTGTTGATTACAGCAACAAGTATTCATATGATGAATTATCTCTTTTCGGATCAATGAATTCAGTAAGTTCATATTACAAAGTTTTTGCTATTAAAGGAAAAATTTGAAGGTGGTAGTCAAAATACTATATGAAAATTTATTTGCAGGTTGCAAATATGTCATACACAAGCTTAATGGAACAAATCATATCATCACAGCCTACGATTTCTGATATGCAGGTAAGAAAAACAATATTTGAATATCATATATAATTTAGTTGTAATATTTCTGTTTTTATTGGAATTTACAGGAACAAAATTCAGCACACTCTACTTTTGTTGCGAGTCCAAGTGCATTTCAGGTATGAAATATTAATTATTTAATTGAATCTAATAATTCAAATTCAAAAGCAAATAAGTATTGATATAAAAATTTTGTTTTGCAGAATTCAATGATATTAACAACAAATCGTACTGATGCTAATATTGAAGAATGGAATAATGATGCGGCAAATGAGGCATGTTGTCTTGGATGTATTACTTCCTGTTGTAGTATTAAAAATTATGATAATTTTAGTAAATTTTAACTGTAATGTAATTCAAATTCCAAGAAGATGAGAGTAATGAAGAGGATGCAATGGATAATTGGAATCTTGATATATTCAATTTGTTAGATGGTGAAAAGGTAATTTTTGTTGTTTGTACCTTTTTCTCTAGATAACAATGATTGATGATTGAAGTTTCATAGTCTGCAAAAGAAAGAGTACAAACATTAATATTTCTTAAAAAATTAAATTGAATAATTCAGATTAGTAATGAATAGGCTAGAAAATTAATTTCAGAAACTAATGGAACTGCTTTTTTTTTGCAGGAACCAAGCTCAATGGATAATCATCGATGTACTTCAGTTCAAGGAACAAGAGATGATGACAATAATCCAAATGATAACTCTGAAACAAATCAACAAGAGCTGACAGAAGAAGACATAAATATTTTCGTAGAGAATGAACAGGAAGAAGCTACAAAGGGCAATAATGCAGCAATTGATAGCAGATATATACCAAGAGTTGGAACACAATTTAAGACTATTACAGAAGCACATGAATTCTTTAACTTCTATGCTCTGTTGGCTAGATTTTCTATTGTCAGGGCTCACAACTACCACACAACAAGCAAGAAAAGGAATGGAAAGAAATACAAATGAAAATGATGCAACAGATTGCAAGTGTGCTCTGGTTATTTCAGAGAGGAATGAGATTTGGAATATTTCAAGGGTACAATTAGACCACAATCATCAACTAAGTCCAAGAGATGAAGTGAGATTTCTCAAATCACACAAACACATGACTACAGAAGAAAAAATGCTCATAAGGACCTTGAAGGAATGTAATATACCAACAAGGCACATGATTGTGATTTTATCTGTTCTAAGAGGATGATTGACTTCTTTGCCTTATACGAAGAAAGATATAAGCAATGTGAGAACCACAATTAACAAGGAGACAAGCAGCAATGATATGATGAAAACTTTAGAATTTTTCAGAAGGAAAAAAGAAAAAGATCCACATTTCTTTTATGAGTTTGATTTGGATGAGAGCAAGAAAGTGAAAAATCTGTTTTGGACAGACGGGAGATCGAGGGAGTGGTATGAGAAATATGGTGATGTTGTGAGTTTTGACACAACATATTTCACCAACAGATACAACCTCCCGTTTGCTCCCTTTGTTGGAATTTCTGGACATGGAAACACAATTGTTTTTGGTTGTGCATTTTTGCATGATGAGACTTCAGAAACATTTAAATGGCTGTTCAGAACTTTTTTGAAAGCTATGTCACAAAAAGAACCAAAAACAATCATTACTGATCAGGATGGAGCAATGAGATCAGCAATTGCTCAAGTATTTCAAAATGCAAAGCACAGAAATTGCTTCTTTCATATTGTAAAGAAAGCTTTCAATCGATCTGGAAATTTGTTCAAAGCAAAAGAAGGGTTGTATGATGAGTATGAAGACATCATAAATAACTCAGTTACAGAAGAAGAATTTGAGTATTTATGGCAAGAAATGATTGACAGCTTTGAAGTTCAGCATATCAATTTTCTAAAGCACATGTGGTCAATTAGAAAAAGATTTATTCCAGTGTATTTTAAGGGTGATTTTTGTCCATTTATAAAAAGCACAGCTCTCAGTGAAGGGACTAACTCAAGGTTTAAGAATAATGTTGGTCCACAGTACAGCATTACAAACTTCATGATAGAGTATGAAAGAGTAATGAATACAATTCAAAACTTGGAATAGTTTGATTATCACATTTCAAGGACAAAGAAACCAAGCAAACTTTGGTCCCATTACTACATTGAGTACCAAGCAATGAGAATGTATAATCGCAAAATCTTCATCAAGTTTCAAGTTGAGTTGAAAAGAACAACTAGATTTCAAATAAATAAAGTAGAGAAGTTCAAAACTTATGAAGTTTTTTTGGCATTGAATCAAAATATTCAAGTAATCAGAAGCAGGAAGTACCTTGTTATTGTGGACTTGGAAAAAGAGGATTTCAACTGCATTTGCTCAAAGTTTGAGAAAGATGGACTTCTATGCTGCCATGTATTGAAAGTAATGCTCCACCTCAATGCAATGAAGATACCAGAAAAATATATTATTGAAAGATGGACAAAAAAAGAGTACAAAGGTCTTAGGGGAAAAGGCAATGGAAATATACCTTTAGCACAGAGCTCAATCCTGAGATTCAACATTTTGTCAAGGAAAAGTGCAGAAATAGCATCAAATGGATCGAAAAGCAATGAAACTTTCCAGTTTGCAGTGGAAGAGATGGACAAAATTGCTAAACAATTGGAATTAATGTGTTCAAATAAAGATGCTGAGCAGGAGATCAATGATTCAGATCTAAATGCAGAAGACAATTTGAACTCACATGAAAAAGGCAATCAACAATCTGAGGAAAATACAGAAGAAATATTGTTGGATCCAGATATTGCAAAATCCAAAGGCAGGCCAGCTCAAAGATACAAGACAATCAGGGAAGAAATACAGCAAAAAGAACTATATCATTGCAGTCATTGTCAGAGGACAGATCACACATTTCCAACGTGCCCTCTGAAACACGTTGAGTTTGACTTGCCAAGGAAGAAGAGAAGAAAGGTTAAAAATACAAGAGAACAGGTAACAAAAATTACAAATCCATATGAATTGAATTTTTTTAAAAAAAGTAATAAAGAAAGATATTATTTGTTGCAGGATGGTGTAGAGCAGAAAAAGAAAGATGTTTCAAACAAAAGAAAAGATTTGCAACAAGATATATCACAGGAGAAGCATAATTCTGGGGCTGAATTAGAAGGCAAAAAGAAGATAAATTCATCTTCATCAAAAAGGGGTGGCACAAAAGAATAGAAATGGAAATGACTAAAAATAGAGAGAGGTTTACTTGAATACAATGGAAATAGACATATTCCATAAGTTTCTGTAATATTCCAGAACATGTACACTGGTTTGTACTTAAATGTTTGTTTCTTATATCAACTACATTTTATGAACTACTTTGCATTTTATCTACCACATGAGTTTATGTACAGTTGTAGCCCTGCAAAAGTTGTCAACTGTCATATTTGAACAAACAAAATTTATTCCAGAATCAATTTCCCTACAAATAAAAAGAGATATAAAAATATAAGCACTAAATAAAAAACAAAATTGTGAAAAAAATAATGATTCTAAAAAAAATTTACCTGAGCAAAGTCAATCACTAGTTTCTTTGTTCCTGTACCGAGAACAGAATTGTCTGGATGGAAGAAAAGACGGTTGACATATTGAATCCTAATGTTTTGAATGTCTTTTTGAGAGAAATGGTTTGTCAGCTGAACTCTTGGACCCCATAGTTCCATGTATTTTAGAGTAAAAACTCCGCAATCAAAACTAGGAAAAAGAAAAAGGACATAAGTAACCACAGTTACTTATCATAAAAAATAAAAAAAACAAAAAAAATTAAAAAAAGCTAATGCAGTTATGGTCATACTATTTACTCTGTAAATTTACTAATGAAATCTATTGCAGTTCTAGTCCATGTTGTACTAAGAAACAGGCTCTTATCCCATCTAGTAATTCTGAATGAAACAATTGACAAACAGGAACTAAATTTTTTGAATGATAATCATAACAAACAAACTAAAATTGTGCATTAACAGCAAAACAAACAGGTTATGCAACAATTAGAAAAGCAGAACAGTCAAGAATTTCTGAATGACCAACAGAACATACAAGATTCCTGTCAACAAGAGAACAATTGGGCATCTGTACAACTCTAACCAACAAAAACAAACAAATAAAAAATATTATTGGACTAAAAGTTACAGTAAAGAAAAACAACTTACAGATTATTTTGGCGAGGTACTGGTGGATATACAATTTTGAAAGCATCAAAATTGATTTGATATTCTTCCATAATGGAATTCCAAGCAAGTGCAAAATTGGATGTCTACAAAACATAAAAAGAAAACTCTGTAATTATAAATTCCAAATCACAAATTGAACAGTAATACATATATTTAAAAATTTGAAAATAAACTGACCAATCTATTCTTAACTTCATCTTGATATTCAGAACCTTCTTCATGTAATGAGTCAAGAAAGACAAACATTTCATCTTTCAGATGAACAATAAAAACAAACCAGTGGCGCTTGTAGAGAATTGGAAAGAAGAGTTGAAACAATTAAATAAAATAAATTATAAATGTAAAAGGAAATATGAAATTAAATATGACAAGTAATTTACAAATTCACAAACCATTTCACATGATTGAATAGGTCTAGCTTTTGATGCACCATCAAAGCATTTCCTAACTGATGAGAAATCAGTTCTTGATGGATGCTTTAGAAGATCATCCTATAGCACAAGTGTATTCAATAATTTAAATATTAAACATATAGTAAAAATTGGTTTTCAATTATAAATATAATAAAACAGAAATTAAGAAACTTACTCCAATAGAAGAGAAGAAATAATGTTTTTTGGATTTTGAGGGGTGAGATAAATGAAACAAATATCGGCAGAACACAGAGACAACAAAATTAGAAACTTCATGTCCAAAATTAAATGATCCTCCAAAAGAACTGAATTTGCAGTGAACACCATCAATTTCAATTGCATGTCGTCTACATTCAGAATACAAATAAATTCAAATTACAAATCATACATTGAAAATGAAGATTATTAGAAAAAAAAAGTACAAAATAGTACTTACTCTTGATATCTGCTTGTTGATAGAGTGCAGACAGCATTATAAATTTGTCTTTCATATTGTGAGACTGTGAAGTTTGATCTTTGAGGAGTATAAGGATCTGTGCAATACTTTGCGGGATTGATTACCCTTCTAAGATCGTGATGAATTGGTTTTGTTCCAGAAGTACTTGGATTGAAATTCTTCATGTTTCATAACAAAACTCTTTCTGGACTAGCAAAGGTTTTGAAGTTTTGTTTCTGAGAATCCAACTGAATTCTATTCATTTTATTGTACATCATGTTGGTTTTGTTTCAAATATCAGCACATTTCTTAGAGAATTTCTTTTCACCAATAAAAACAACATCAGGTGAATCTTGAAATTTAACAAATAAATTAAATAGTACAGTTAGAAACACATTAAAAAAAGAAAATCAAAATAACTAGAAATAAAAAATAATAATTATTAGCTTATAACCAGAACAGAAAAATGATAAATAAAAGTAAGGTACAGGGCATGAAATATTTGAAATATCAATATGAAATAACAGTTCAGCAAATAAACTAGTGATGTTCAACAGCAAACTTACAAACTTGAGATTATAAACTGAATAAAAAGAAATGAATAAGCAGTGAGAAGAAAAACCTTTTGGAATAAAAAAAGAAAGAAGGTATGTTATTAACTAGAACTGAAATACATTGTAACCTACAAGAATTACAGCAAAACTATGGAGAACAACAATGCAAAAATGGAATTAGAAAAATTTTTAAACACCATTTAATTTCAAAAAGGGAACATCAATGAAAATAAACTATGAGATTATTCATACCTTTATGATGTGACAACCTTTTTCATTTTCTTTGTTTTCATTGAGAGAAGCATTAGGAGAAGTTGAATTTTCAAGTGTCACCATGTACATCTTATCCTAAAATTTCAAAATTTAACAAATGAAAGTTAGTTTGTATATACAGAAGAAATAAAGAAAGAAATTAATGTTAGAATTACCGGACTGTCTGAACAGATTATTGGGCTTTCAACAGCAGCAGCAAAAGTTTGAGACAACTTTCTTGGAGTGATCTGCAAGATTTGTATAAATCAATATAATGTTCTAAAAAAGTATTCCTTATGAAATTTGAAGTTACTTCACAAGTACCTTATTTCTTAAAACAGGATTTGGGGAGTATGAATCAGGAATAACTTGATATGAATCTACAAGATGAGCAGGTGTAATTTCTTTTTTGAAATCATCATTTTCATGATGGAGGTCATCATCAGAATCCCAGATTTTAAAAGACGGTTGATCATGAAAAACTTGATTGTTTCGAGCTATAGCAATAACATAAGAATTAGAAACAAAAAATATGGCAACAAAAAGTAAGAGGACCATAGTACAGTGCACTAAAATCACATGACAAAAGAAATGAAATATTACAATAACTCAATTTTTTTGATGCTAGAACAATTAAAGATATACGAGTAAAAACAAATGAGATTCCATTAAAAAAAAATTTACCAGTCAAGGCAGAATTTTTCTCTGTTTCATCTGGTGGATTAATAGGAACATGACCTTCAATGTTAAATAGGCACAAACATCAATAATTCATATTTAATTTTTTAAAAAAACAGATTAACAAATTTAGAAAAAAAAATAACCTGTTTTGTTCAACTTTGTCATTATTTCATCAATGTTGATATGTTTAATCTGCACAGATAAAAAATAACAGTTAAAAACTATCAACAATTACAGTTCTATATATTCAGATTATAATGATTGAAATAAAAATGAAAAAAAAACCTCTTCTGAAGAATTCAAAATGGTAGACTTATTCACAGGATTAAATTCTTCATTTGGAATTGGCAACTTATCATCATCTAGTATTGTTTTACTGTTTCCCTACAAAAAAAATAAAAGGACAAAAAAATGCTTAATGATTCACATGACTATTAGAATAAAAAAAATTGAAATGAGAACAGAAAACAATGTACCTTTGGAGATGAGGTGAAATTGTTATTTTTTTTCACAGCTTGATTAACATCATCATTATTTTCTTCAACTGGTTCATGATCTGGTTCAATTCCTTAATTTAAAATTTATAAAAAAAATCAAGACATATGAATGGAAAAAAATTAAAAATAAAATAAACAACAAAATTCGTAAATTAAAAGTAATAACCTGAATTTTCATGTGCAGCAGGTTGAGTAGGATAATTGGAACTACAATCAGCTAACAACAACAGAACATCTATAAGAAGTTTCTTAGCCTTGTCTTCAAAGATTTCATCTTCTTTTCCAAAATGATAGCAGAGCAAATGACAAATTTTGTCTTGAACATCACTTGGCAACAGATCACCAACAGAACTTTTGAGCATATCAGCAAATGAAGATGAGCTATTATTCACCTAAAAAATTAAAACAGAATTTTCAATTCCAATCTAAGAAAATTTATTAGAACTTAAAAAGATAAAAAATTTGAAAAAAAAAACTGAACATTTACCATTGGGTAACAAGTTGAAGCAATATCATTGACTGGTCTTTTTCCATACACTCCTTCAGATATTTTATCAAATTTGGAATAGTCCTTAATCATAGATCTTTTCCAAACTTTTATTCTTGGTGTATCAAGTAATACTTTTTGTGAACCAAAGTTGAGAAAATCCAGGTAATTAACCTATGAAACATTGAATATAGAAATTAAATGAATAGTCATTTAGTACAAAATATAAATTAGCATAAATGGAGGGAAAAAAATTTACCGCTAAATGGAATAAACAACCACCAAAAGTTTTTGATTTCTCAATCTTGCTAATGTGTTCCATCAACCAGTCAAAAACTAACTTGCACCAGTCCAAACTTTCAATTAAGTCCATGTCTTCAAAGGCACTTAGGTATTTTGTACTTGGAATCAAAGAAGAGTTTGGACAAAGAAAGCAATTCAAGGAAACAATCATAAAGCAGATGAGAATTTGATCATCAGGAAGTTCTTCATTTTTAATTAACTTTTCTCCAAAGAACTTGACAGAAGGAATAGAAGTTTTCCCAAAAATCTGAAGAATCTTTTGTTTGCCAGAATCAAATTTTGAATGGATTGTACTACCACCAACAGGGAGGCCTAGCACAACATGGACAAATTGCTTGTTCAATGGAATAAGTTTTTGGCCCAAAACTATATCAGAACAGTTCACATCTACTTGTTTTGCAATCCAGAGAGCAAAAGAATTGGGAACAAAACACTTGTCAAATAGCAGCATGCTTTGAAAACAAGAATTTTCAATGACTGTTTTGTGATGTGGACTTAAAGAATCAACTTTTGAGAAATATTTGACTGAGAATCTAGAGAATGCATCAGACTTCAAATCAGTGTCAACATTTTTGTCCTGACAAAAAGAAAATAAAACAATTTAATCAATAAATAAAAACCAAACATAGATATAAAAGGGCATTGCAAAAAACTAACCTTCAAATTTTGATCACCTATGTTGTGATGAATATTAAGCTTTTTTTTCAAACTGTTGATAATTTGATCCCTTTGTATGATATCACGTAGAACCTGATTTATCATTACATCATTGTCCAATTCAATAGATTCAGACCTTTTCATCTTAAAAAAAATTCAAAATTAAAAACAAGAATGATGGAAAAATATAAAATGAAAAATAACAAACAAAATAATTACCTTAATGTTATCATCTTCACTTCTTTTAGACTTACTGAGTTTCCTTTTCAAAGTTTTCAGAAGTTCATTTGTAGAAATTTCATTTACATGTGGTTGTGAAACATCCATATCCTAAAAAAACATATTAAACAATTAAAACATTGCAAATGTGCTATGAAACATGGCTACAACAGAGCTACAACTGCATACTAATGAAAAAAAATAATGAAAGAATAATGGATACTATTCTGACCTTGGAACAACATGACAATTCAAGAACAAATAAAACAAGAAAATATTGGTCATACTATTACATTGGCTACCAAGCAATGAGAATGTATAATTGCAAACTCTTCATGAATTTACAAATGGAAATGAAAAAAACAACTATATTACAAATCAATGAAATTGAAATGTAAAATAAACTTACATGACTGGCTGAGTTATCATCAGAATCACAATTGTAATCATCATCTTTAGCAGGCAAAGACTCAGAATTAATATCATCAGATTCACTTATGGGCTGGCTACAATTATCCAATTTTGAACGCTTTTGGTGAACCATCTATTAAAAATAGCAATAAAAAATCAATAAAGTTTGGCAGACTATAAATTATAAAATAAGTGAAGGTATGCATTAAAAAAAGATATATAATTCCTCAGAAATTGACCACTTTATTCAAGAAAAAAATGAACATTACTTAAACATGGCAAACGAACAAAATTAACTCCCAGTACAATATATATACGTTGGTTAGTACTTTCAACTTGTAAGTCAAATGTTATAGTATATCTCCATGTCCTCACAAATATATGCAAAGAGGTCCACACTATGATAAAAAGTCAAACAATCTCACAAACTTAAGCCCTGTACACCTGATTCACACTAGGGAACATGACCATTCCACAGTTGGTCTATGCAGAGGCACGCAATCCAATGAATCCAGTCTACTACAAACATTAGCAGTAGAACCGACACAAATGGCGTCTAAATCCCCAAAGGGGAAGACATGTTAGACCTAAGTACATAAACACGAGTCCAATAACAAAAATGGGGTTTGCACTAGAGTGTAATCCAGTCTACTACAAACATTATGAACAGCTACAAAAAGACATCCAAATCCCACAAGGCTAACAAATTTGCATAGATCATAAAGTTCTCAATAAACTAGCGTAACAAAATCAATTAACCTGCATGCCTGCCCTAACTTAACAGAAATTAAATTAAGGGGCTGTCTATATAGGAATCGAATGATCTATATAAGTTAAAACCTATATTGATCTACACTTCAGATCAATATCTCAGGCTTCATATTTCTAGCTTACATTTGAGTACACACAAAGAACTAGAAAACAAAATACAACGTGGATATAGTACTTATGTAGCAATAGTAATACAACACACAACTAAATCACACACATCATCATGATGCAAAGTTTCTGAATCTGTACAACAGTTCTTTTGATGACCCATCTAATAATTAAAACAAAGGGAGAGAGACAAAAAAAAAAGCACAAGGAGTTATTATAAGGATGCACATATCATAAGCAATGGAAAAAAATGAAATGAGAAATAGAACATTGCATAGCACACAGGGAAAATAGAAACATAATCAATACATAAATCACAGCAATAATTCACTATCAGATCTACAGCTAACAATAATTCATCAGCTAGCAAGCTAAACAAATAGTTGAAGACTACAAATAAAGTACAAATAGTAAGAGAGACAAAATAATGCAACACAAACTTCTATAAATCCAAACATGAGCAAACTTCTTCATAAACATCATTCAAAACAAATCACACGCATCTACTAAAATAGCAACTCGCAGATTCAACAAATCACAACCTAACATCCGGAGAACAAGGGAGCAACTATAGATTCAACTCAAATTCCCATGGGAAAAACTAGATCTAACTTTACACATCACAGATCACAGAGCACAATTCGTAAATCACATATCACATATCACAGATCACACATCACACATCACATAAACGAAACTTTCTAGAACATCGCATAGCACAAATTTATGAACAAATATATCACAGAAACCTAAAAAAAATCACAAAAGCAAAATCGAACACGAATCATGGGGATTCAATGAAACAAACACCGAAACAAAAGGTGCTCAGATCTACGAAAACTAGAACGACTAGTACTACAGAATCAACGAAACACAACATGTAGCATGCTAAATAGGAGATGGAAATGAACAAAAAAGGAAAAAAAACAAAAAGGAAAGCCACTGGAATAATCTTGCGCAATCGACGGCGCGGCTCGCCGAAGAGCAGCCTCGTCGCCTCGCTAAATCGCCGCCGCGTCGCCGGAGACGATGAGAACGAGACGACAAAATCGTCAACCTCTCCTTCTATAACTCTCTCTCTCCATCGGCAAAAGGAGCACAACTAGCGGAGCAAAACAACAACGAATCGAGCAGCAAGCTAACAAATGAAGCTGGAGAAGAATCAAAACATACTCACCAGAGAAAAAGAGGAGAAGGAGCTCGAGGACAAGATGGAGAAGCCCACACCGCAAACTCCAGTGGAATCACCGCCGCGACGTAGCCTGCACGAATCCACGCCGCGGCGTAGCTTACGCAGCGTCGTCGCCTCCCGGAGTCGCCGACGAAATCTCCGCCGAAATCGCCGGACGAGACGACGAGGAAAAAGGCAAAAAGCAAAATGAATCTCTCACACTCTCTCTCTAGTCTGATTCAGACAATCTCTCTCTCCGGTGCGGATTTCAAAATTTGAATAGTGTATGTGGGTCCCACCATTAACACTCTCACAAAAAAATTTCTCTATCGGCAACACAAAGTGGGTCCCACAAAAATGTAAAAAAAAAAGAAGCCCATTTAGCCCACGTATGGAAGCCCGAACTTACAATAATCAAAAGCCCACATACAAAAGAAAACAAAAGTCTAGATAGCACGAATCTCAAACAAAATCCAAGGGACCAAAAAAACGACTGATACAGCCCAACAAAAACATGCGACAGTCATATAGCCTTTCCGTTTCTTTTTCTTTTCCTCCTTCTTCCTCCCGTCTTCTCTCTTCTCTCTGTTTCACAGAGAACCGAGAGGAGGAAGAGGGGAAGGCGAGCGGGCTGCCGGCGCTCTGGTGGATGGGGGACGGCGGCGTCAGCGGCGGCGCGTGTTCCCGCGCACGGCGCACTTAGGAAAGGCAGTGGCAGGCGAAGGGAACAAGGGAGGAGGCCGGAACGGTGGAGACAAAAGCTTTGCTCCGGCGATAAAAGAAGTGGCTATAGTGGCTTATAGGATTACTAAGGGAAAGGGGAAACTAGAAAAATGGGTTCACCTCGTCGAGGCAAGCACGGTGGCGCGAGGGTTTGGTCCGTAATGCACCGGTGAGGGAGATCGAGTGGTGGCGGCAATGGCCGGACATGGCCGGAGAGAGAGAGAAGAGAACTCGAGGAGCTCTGCTATGGGGAAGGAAACGGGGCCTCTTCGGCTATATATAGGCGAGGAAAGGCGGTGGTTAGAGGCGGTTTCGGAGAGGAGGAAGAGAAGGAGAGCACGACGCCGGTTGGGTGGAGAAGAAGAACTCGACGCCGGCTCTAACTCTGATTGGTCGATCATGTCGGTTTGGTGCAGTGGCTGGCGTCAGCGATGTGAGGTGGCGGCTGACGTCAGCGGCTGATGCTTAGCGGTGAAGGCAAGACGACGGCGGCAGCAAAGCGCTGTGGGCGGCGGCGGCGGCGCGTACACGCGCGCCACACGCGGCCACGGTGCTCGGTGGTGGCGGCGCCCACAGGGAGAGACGAGTTGGCTCAGCTAACTGGGCCGGCCTGGGCCGAGTAAGAAAGAAGGAGAATTCGGCCCAAAAACAAAAGGAAGGAATCTAATTTTCATATAGGTTTGAATAATTTGATTCAAAGGAATTTTGGATGGCTAAGTTTTACAAGGGATTCGAATTTGGAGAATATTTGAATAGGAAGGTTTGAAAGGAAATTATATTTGGATATAATTTCCAGAAGAGATATTTTCTGGTTTATTTGAGTGCAACATCTTTAAAGGTGAAGTTTGAGGGAATTTGAATTTTGGATGAGGAAAATAAATTGGAATTTTCTAAGCACAAGAGCAATCATTAAAATATTGTTAATCTTGTGCTGGATAGGAAATCAAGCCATAGGGATTAAATTGGTGGCTAGATCAAAAGGAGGAACTTGAATATTTGGTAATAAGAATAGGTTTGAAATCAAAGGATGGGTTGACAATTAATTCCAATAAGATTGGAATTGCTTCGATTTAGGTTCAAAGGTAGTGTTGGAGGATTTCTTGGACCATATTTCACAAAAGTAAAAAGGATTTTCAAACTAAATTTGAATTAAGGAAATTTTGGTCGAAAGAAGCTTTAAAATGCAAAATCAAATCAAAGAGAATACCTCGATCTAAAAAGATCAATTTTAGAATAAAAGCACGAAAGATTTTAAATACTAGACATGGATTTTATGCATGTTAGTTTTAGGAGGTCCCTCTAATTGTAATTTCTTAGGTTTAGGAAGTTATTAAAAACATAAGAATCAGCATGATGCATATTTAGAAAATAGCAAATTTTCAGTATGTTACAGCTGCAGAGCCTCGGTCAGACCGGACACCGGTCAGACCGGCCACTGTACCTCGGTCAGACCGGCCTCGGAGAAATTTTTCTGAAAATTCTCAAATTGATTTTGCACGTGGATATATGCCTATTGGATCTTCTGGTCGTGTGTCTCAGTACTGGATTCCTAAGTTTTTATTATCATCTAACTCCAGTACTGAGGCTTCGACTTCTGCTTATGTATAGGCTTTGGTGGCAAGGAAGGAGAACATGTGGATCGTGGATTCCGGTTGTTCGCGGCACATGGCCGGTGATAAAAATTGGTTCTCCTCCCTCTAAGAAGGCATCCAAGACTGAATCGATTATCTTTGGTGATGCTTCTACAAGTGCCGTTCTCGCTACAGGTTTGGTTAAGGTAAATGAAAATTTTGAATTGAAGAATGTAGCTTTGGTTGAGGACTTAAAGTACAATTTGCTTTTGGTTTCACAAATTGTTGATGAAAATTTTGAGGTTCACTTTAAGAAAACTGGAAGTAAAGTTTTTGACTCTTGTGGTAATTTTTTGTTGAATATTTCTCGCTATGGAAGAGTGTTTAAAGTTGATTTTGAAAATCCTGTTTCACCTGTGATAACATGTTTGGTTGCTAAGTTTGATAAAGATGTGATGTTTTGGCATCATAGACTTGGACATGTTGGTTTTAATCATCTCACTAGGTTAAGTGATTTGGATCTTGTTCGTGGTTTGCCTAAACTTAAGAAAGATCTTGATTTGGTTTGTACACCGTGTCGTCATGCTAAGATGGTTTCTACTTCACATGCTCCTATTGTTTCTGTGATGACGGATGCACCGGGACAGCTATTACATATGGACACTGTTGGTCCAGCTAGAGTGCAATCTGTTGGAGGAAAGTGGTATGTGTTGGCTATTGTTGACAATTTTTCTCGATATTCTTGGGTTTTCTTTATGGCAACTAAGGATGAAGCTTTTCAACACTTTCGTGGTTTGTTTCTTCAATTGGATCTTGAATTTCATGGTTCTTTGAAAAGAATTCGAAGTGATAATGGTGGTGAGTTTAAAAATGCTTCTTTTGAAAATTTTGCAACGAAAGAGGTCTTGAACATGAATTTTCTTCTCCTCGTGTTCCTCAACAAAACAGTGTTGTTGAAAGGAAAAACCGTGTTTTGTTTGAGATGGCTAGAACAATGTTGGATGAATATAAAACTCCTAGAAAATTTTGGGCTGAGGTTGTTAACACTGCTTGTTATATTTCAAATCGGGTTTTCTTGAGATCAAAACTTGGAAAAACTTCTTATGAACTTTGATTTGGACATCAACCCAAAGTTTCACATTTTCGTGTTTTTGGTTGCAAGTGCTTTGTCTTGAAATCTGGAAATTTGGATAAGTTTGAGGCACGTTCTACCGATGGATTGTTTCTTGGTTACCCCGCACATACTCGTGGCTATCGTGTACTTATTTTGGAGTCTAACAAAATCGTTGAGACTTGCGACTTTCGATGAGGCTAGTCCAGGTACTAGACCCGATATTGCAGGTACACTGTCACAGGTTCAGGGGGAGGATGGTCGTATTTTTGAAGACGAGAGCGACAACGACGAGGTCGGCTCGGCTGGTCAGACCGCCGGCACACCTCCGGTCAGACCGGCGCAAGATGTGCGGTCAGACCGGCCAAGGTCGTCGGGATCGGGTACTGTTGATGCTGATCGAGATGGTCCTCTAGAGATTACTACTTCGACCAGTACTGATACAAAACGTGGATCAACTTCAAAAGTTGCTGCTCCTTTGCATATTCAACGACGACATCTGCCGGAACAAATAATTGGTAATTTAGGTGAGCGGACTACAAGGTCTAAGGTAACGACTCATGATGGTAATTTGTTGCTTCTTTTGAACCCAAAGATGTGTCACGTGCATTAACTGATGAATCGTGGATTAACGCCATGCATGAAGAACTTGAAATTTTTGAGAGAAACAAAGTTTGGACTTTAGTTGAACCACCTTCTGGACATAATATTATTGGAACCAAGTGGGTTTTCAAAAATAAACAAAATGAGGATGGTTTGATTGTGAGAAATAAAGCTAGACTTGTTGCTCAAGATTTTACTCAAGTTGAGGGTTTGGATTTTAATGAAACTTTTGCTCCTGTTGCTAGCATTGAGGCAATTAGACTTTTGTTGGATTTTGTTGCTTCAAAAGGTTTTAAATTGTATCAAATGGATGTGAAAAGTGCTTTTCTAAATGGTTTTATACAGGAGGAAGTTTATGTCAAACAACCACCAGGTTTTGAAAATCCTGATTTTCCCAACCATGTTTTTAAATTGTCTAGAGCTTTGTATGGTTTGAAACAAGCTCCTAGGGCATGGTATGATAGGCTTAAGAACTTTTTGCTTACGAAAGGTTTTACAATGGGAAAGGTTGACAAAACGCTTTTTGTTCTTAAGCATGGTGATAATCAACTGTTCGTTCAGATTTATGTGGATGATATCATCTTTGGTTGTTCAACTCACGCTTTGGTTGTAGATTTTGCTGAGACTATGCGCAGGGAATTTGAGATGAGCATGATGGGTGAGTTATCGTACTTTTTGGGATTGCAAATTAAGCAAACACCTCAAGGTACTTTTGTGCATCAAACGAAGTATATGAAGGATCTTTTGAGACGGTTCAAGATGGAGAATTGCAAGCCAATTTCAACACCAATTGGTTCTACAGCTGTGTTGGATCCTGATGAAGATGGTGAAGCCGTTGATCAAAAGGAATATAGAAGTATGACTGGATCTTTGTTGTATCTAACTACTTCTAGGCCAGACATACAATTTGTTGTGTGTTTGTGTGCGCGCTTTCAAGCTTCTCCTCGTGCTTCACATCGTCAAGAAGTCAAGCGAATAATGAGGTATTTGAATCATCCACTTGAGTTTGGAATTTGGTATTCTACTTCATCTTCTATATGCTTAAGTGGATATTCCGATGCTGATTTTGGAGGTTGTAGAATTGATAGGAAAAGTACTAGTGGAACATGTCATTTTCTTGGTACATCATTGATTGCATGGTCTTCTAAAAAACAATCTAGTGTTGCTCAATCAACTGCTGAATCTGAATATGTTGCTGCTGCTAGTTGTTGTTCACAGATTCTTTGGCTTTTATCTACTTTGAAAGATTATGGTCTTACTTTTGAGAAAGTACCTCTCTTTTGTGATAATACAAGTGCTATTAACATTGCTAAGAATCCTGTTCAACACTCACGCACAAAGCACATTGACATTCGCTTTCACTTTTTGAGGGATCATGTTGAGAAGGGAGATGTTAAATTGCAGTTTTTGGACACAAAGTTGTAAATTGATGATATTTTCACTAAACCTTTGGATTCTAATCGCTTTGCTTTTCTTCGTGGTGAATTGGGAATAATTCATCCTTTTGGCATGGTTTGAGAGGGAGTTTGTACCTCATGGTTTTATCAAGCAAAAATATGACAATGAGAAAAATTGATAAAAAAAAAAGAGCTTTGTTTATGCATATGGTATTTTCTTGTGCATGCTAGCAATACTTTGAAGGTTTATTTGTCTCTAGCATAGCTTGTATGTATTCTAGTCTTTTCATGAGATTTAGATTTTGCTTTTAAAGGAGATGATGCATGACACTTAAATTCTATACTTGAATTAAGCAAATATGCAATGTTGATGCTAGCATATGGTTTGATTTCTAAATGCTTTATATATATGCTTTATTGATTTGTTATTCCTCAAATAGCTTTAATTGCTCATTGTGAAAAAGAGAATAAAAATATGAAAAAAAAATGAATACCGAATCCTTGGAAACAGTCTTGACGACAAGGACGTATTCGATGTGAGCAAAATAATGGGTGCCGAATCCCTGGAAACATTCTTGACGACAGGGACGTACTCGGAATAAAAGAGAAAAATATGAGAAAAAAGGGTCAAGAAAAGAAAAGGTTCAAAAAATTCTCTTGGTTATTTTGTGCTAAAGGTTATTTGAGAAAGAGTGATAAATGCAATAGGTATATGTGTTTAGTGTTTATTCTTCAACCTATGTGCTTGTTAAGATGTTGCATTATAAATCGTATGAAATCATGAATTTTGATGTTGATTCAAGCTTAATTGTAGAATCTTTGGTTCATGGTTATACTTTAATGCATGCTTGTTATATTATAGATGGGTTCATCTTCTTTTTATTGCAACACATGACTTGATATGCTATATGTATGGTAAGCTCTTGAACATTAATGAACATAATTCCTATTCTTGATGAAATCATTGTCAAAAGGGGGAGAAGTGATGTGACAATTTTTGGATTTTTGGGAGAAGCAAGGTGAATTTTTGGAGAGTTGTTGAGAAGAGCATGTTTTAGGTTCAATTGGGAATTTCTTTCTTTTAAAAAGGGGGAGAAGTTTTCTTTTGGATTTTCGAGCACGATGTGTACGTTTGTACAAAGTATGCTTTTTACCACTTTTGTTTTTATTTTTCCAAACACCAAAACATTTTTGATGGGTTTGCCAATGTGTTCATCAAGGGGGAGATTGTAAAATCAAAGGTGTTTTTTATTATTATTCTGTTATGAACAATTGGCATCGGCGATTATTGGTTTTGTTATTTGGAATTTATTCACGAAGTGGTTTTGGAGATGATTGGATTTACAGGTGAATCGCAGGTGTTGTTATTTCATGTGACTGGTCAGACCGGGCAGTGTGAGCCGGTCAGACCGGCGTGTATCGCGCGGTCAGTCCGGCGCAGCCCGCGGTCTGACCGGCCGACGCTGTGTCGGTTTCGGTTTTGGGTTGTTTGTTTGGATATCCGTGATTATTTCATGATTATGGCTTCTAGATGGATACTATACGTAATACTGTTGTTTGCTACTAATGAGTCAAGTTGGAGATAGCTTGGTCTCGGAATATGGTTTCTTTGTTTATTTCATGTGTAGGTGACTCGATGTCTCGGGAGAGTATTTGCGGTGATGGACCGGGAGTCGGCTTGGGGATAAGACGACGTCCGTGGTGGTCAGAGATCATGCGGAATACTTAGGCTAGAGTTGATGCACGTGGTTGATGGAGATTCCATATGGCATACGATGGAGTTATTGTGTGTGTATGGGATGCGGAGTCGAATTTGGAAGGAGTCCAAATTTGGTATGATTGGTTATGTAAAGTTTGTTTCTTGTACTAGAGGGTTTCCTAAGGTGTTTAAGACTCCTAGTATGAGTTTGGTTCGTGGCTTTAGGCTGCCTACCTCGGGTATAAATAGAGGGGGAGCGTGAGGCTTCCTGGTATCGCTTTTTAGAGCAATTGAGTTGAGTTTTGAGTTAGGGTTTCGAGTTTAGTCGAAATTTTTGTAAGGAGTGTTGTTGGTGCACTTTGTAAACACAGAGAGAATCAATAAAGTCGTTATCTACTTTTAGAGTTCTTCGATTTTTGTTTCACCGGGTTTCGACGTCTAACCGGCGATATACCGGTGGTCAGACCGGCGGCAAGCGACGGTCAGACCGGCGGCGGCGACAGGCGTGGCAGGCGACTTCGGCGGTCAGACCGGAGATTCAACACCGGTCAGACCGGCGGCATCTACTCGGTCAGACCGACAGATCAATCTCGGTTAGACCAACTTCCGTGGATTTCGAGGGTAACTTTTATTTCCGCTAAAAGTTTTCGGTTTTTGGGTATACCAACCATTCACCCCTCTGGTTGGCTTAGTTATTATGATTCGATCCTACATTAGATTGGTGACCCTTCGATTAATTGGATGCTGATTTCTTTACGGTTACTTAGCTAAAAAGAAGTTAATTAAGCATCCCTAGCTGGCTAACCATGAAATGCTTGACAGAAGAGCCACCCAACTTTTCCAACTGGCGACATCATCAGCTGGCACAGGAGGTGGAATATATTTGAAAAACTCTGTCAGAACAAAAGCTCCGCAATGAGCTAGTAGCTGAATTGGTTAGAATGTTATAGATCTTGCAGATAAAGATAAACAATACACTAATCAATCATTTGACAGGAGAATCATATAGGCTTTACAAGGTTGTTGTTTGGTCATCCAACTATGTACTCCCTTCGTTCCAAAATGTTTGACGCCACTGACCTTTTTAAAAATGTTTGACCATTCGTCTTATTAAAAAATTTAAGTAATTATTAATTCTTTTTCTATCATTTTATTTATTGTTAAATATATTTTTATGTATACATATAGTTTTACACATTTCACAAAAGTTTTTGAATAAGACGAACGGTCAAACATGTTTAAAAAAGTCAACGGTGTCAAACATTTAGATGGAGGGAGTACTACACTAGTGAGCATTCGAAACTAGTAAGGATTTATCTTTTGGTTTAAATAATATGAGAACAAATGGGCCAGCTGATTGGAACTCATAGCTTTCCGGTGTATGGGTCTGAGGCGATCAAGCGAATGAACACAGTGTACACTGCAAAGTACAAAGACCAAAACCTTTGATGAAAATGCAGTTAAGTTTGAGACTTTGCAGTTAAAAGAATAGTTTGGGACTTTGAGCATTCCCAGCCGGTTAAGAAAAAAATCCGGAGAAGAGTTGCGAGATTCAGGTGAAAGGATCAAAAGGCTCCTGAAATCTGAGCTTTAATTTGATCATTTCAGAATAAAATCAGCATGAACTCTACTAAAAACGTAGTTACAGTAATTTTTGAGCAAAATAAAACACAATTAATTCCACAAGAATAAAACTGTACTATAGCACTTCATTGTTGCCACCGTGGAGATTACCCCGGTTTAGACAGTTAGACTCCACGGCGGCAACGATCATCCGACGTGTCAAAGCGCCACGTGTCACAGCGCCGGCGGCCGCCGTCGCCGTCACACCACGGAGTCCGAGGCGTCTTGCTCCGGCGTCGGCGGCGCGTGGCTCCGGCTTCCCCTCATGAAGTTGCCGCTCCACGTCGACGTCGACGTCATGTTCGTGCTGACGTGGCTGGACGCCGTGGACGTCGTCGTGTCGATCCCGCCGTCGATGGCCGGCCACACGAACGCCGGCTTGAACGGCGGCACCTCCGGCGGCGGCGTGGACCGCAGCAGGATCTGCGTGATGGCCATCGTCTTGGGCCGCTCGGCCGGCGTCGGGTGGCTGCAGGCGAGGCCGAGGAGGAGCAGCCGCTCGGCGTCGCCGGCGTCGAACGCGCCGTCGAGGCGCGGGTCGACGGCGTCGAGGACGCGGCCGTCGCGGTGGAGGCGCCACACCCAGTCGACGAGGAAGCAGAAGCCGTCGATGTCGCAGCGCGGGCGGCGGCCGCAGACGACCTCGAGGACGACGGCGCCGAAGGCGTAGACGTCGGACTCGCGGGTGGCCTTCTCGGTGTGGAAGCACTCCGGGGCGATGTAGCCGACGGTGCCGTGGACGCCGCCGCCGGCCTCCTCCATGTAGGAGGTCTTGTCGGTCTCGATGGCGCGGGCGAGGCCGAAGTCGCCGAGGCGCGCGCTGAAGGCGGCGTCGAGCATGACGTTGGAGGCCTTGAGGTCGCGGTGCACCACCTTCTGGTCGTACTCATCGTGGAGGTAGTGCAGCGCCGACGCCACGCCGGCGACGATGCTGTACCGGAGGTCCCAACCCAGCAGCCGCCGCTCCGCCGCCGCCGCGCCGAACAGGTGCTGGTCCAGGCTCCCGTTCGGCATGTACTCGTACACCAGCAGCAGCTCGCCATTGTCGTGGCTCCACCCTGCACATACACCGTCCACTTCAGTTTACAAATGACCACGATAATCGATTAAAGTTGAACGAAATTTTGCTAGAAAATTGATTTTTTTCTTGAACTTGGTCTGAGAGGTTTCAAAATGAGAATAAGCTCAATAAGAGATATTTTTAGAGATAAATGAGGAGAGAGAAAAGCAGCGGGCTACATATATGTAGCCAGCTGTAGCACGAACTCCAAGAAACTGTGTGTGTATGACAGATGGGACTATATATTAATAGTATAGTAAGGGCAATTATTGTGGGCACCCAAGCACAAGCCCCAAGATGCCACATAGGACTAAATAGTAAGGTGGATGAGAGAAGAAAAATAAGAGAGAAATAGACATCTCTCATGTAAGGGGCAATCTCTAAACAAACTACAATAAATATGTGAGAGTGTTAGAAATATTGGGGATTGTGTGGTAGTCTGGTAGAGATAACCTATTATACATGTCACCTCTTAATTTTATTATATATGTCATGCATAAATTTGGATGTGGTAGTCACCTCTACTATAAAACTTGCCTTAAGCAACTATTATATGAATCGATAAATTGGAAATAGTAGTGAGCTATACTATTAAACTTGCTCTAAGGCTAATAACCCAATAACCGAGTGGTAATCCTTGCATTCACCAAGGCAATTAAACCAGATTAACCTCATGCTACAACTTCACATTTCTAGCTCAATTGTACTATGCATTATGTATTACTTGACTTGACAAGGTTGTACTTATTATTCCAAAGAGAGATTGGATTCAGTAATTGTAATGTAAACTGCCAACAGTGTGTGCATTTTCTGTGTACCTTATAACATGCACCTCATCACTGTTCAGATTCAATTCTACCTGAATTAATCATGATGGCTGCTTTGTGCTTGCTTGGAATGTGGTGTATCCGTTGAAATGGGTGTTGATTATTAGCGAAAGTACAGTACTACAGTGCTGGTTACTACTTAACTATACTTGGCTGCAGTTTGCCAGGTTGGTTTAAGTATGAACATAGTGACTGAACCGTGAAGACTGAAGACTATATATCAAATTTCAAAAGTGAAGGGTCAAACTAAACATTTTGTTATGTGCGTGCGCATGTGCATTGCCTGGAAAAGCCGAGTAATTAAATTAAATCGCGCTCGAAACTGGCCTTTGTTAATCCACACACCCCATGTGCAAGCATCACGAGATGAATAATTTAAAAAACATAATCTAATAAAGATTAGCAAGTAGCAGATTAATTAGTAGTAATATGGAGTGTTAATTAAGCCAAGGGCGTCGCCGGCGGCCGGCGCCGCCGGCGACGAGGAGGGAGGAAGGATTCGCTTGCTTACCGACGAGGCGGACGAGGTGCTTGTGGCGGAGGCGGTTGATGATGCTGAGCTCGGCGAGGAAGTCGTTCTGCCCCTGGGTGCTCGCCCGCGAGAACTTCTTGACGGCGACCTCCACCGCGCTCCCGGCGCCGCCGGGGAAGGTGTGGTCGCCGACCACCACGCCGCGGTACACCACCCCGTACCCGCCCTGCCCCAGCTTCATCCTCTCGTCGAAGTTGTTCGTCGCCTTCCTCAGCTCCCGGTACTCGAACTCCCTCGGCCCCCCGGCGAGGCTCCGGATCATCGTCCCGGTGATGCCGCTGCCGTCGTCGCCGCCGCTCACCTTCCGCCGCCGCTTCGCCACGTACAGGTAACCCAATGCGGCGGCGAGCGCGGCGGCGGCCACGGGCACCCCGATGGCCAGGGCGAGCGTGAGGCCCTTGCCGTGGTCGCCGCCGCCGTCGTCGTCGCGGGGGAGCCTCTCCACCGTCATGTTCCACGCGAGGACGCAGTTGAGCTGGTACTTGAGCCCCGTCGACGCCGAGAACCCGAAGTAGGACCACTCGGCCACGGTGGCGCCGAGGTCCAGCGGCGCGGCGAGAACCGGCGACGCGGGCCTCGCCTGCCCGGACACCGCCATGTACGCCTCGATGCGGCGGGCGGCGCCGTCGTAGTCGATCCAGACGTCGTACTTGACGGGGTCGACGGGGGAGATCTCGATGCCGAGCGGCTTGAGCGAGGTGGTGGCGACGGAGACGACGCCGTTGACGTCGAGGCCGATGTGGTTGTCGTCCGGGTCGTACGGCTGCTCCTCCGTGTCGAGCTCCACGGCGACGATCTGGTTCGTCGCATTGCCGTCGGTGGCGGCGTTGGTGAGGCCGAGGAACCCGCCAGTGCTCCCGGCCGGCGGCGCGGCCGCCGACGGCGCGATGACGAACGCGAACCCCTCGCCGGGCACCGTGCCATTGGGCCGGAACACGTTGACGGTGAACACCGTGCTAAACGAGGCAACCCTCTTGCCGGCGGTGGAGCCGTTCGCCGCCTCGCCGCCGCCCTTCTCGCGGTGCCAGAGCTTGAACGGGGCGGCGTACAGGACGCGGCCGGACTTGTTGGTGAGGTAGCGCGACGCGTCGTTGAGCGAGTCCGGGGTGATCTGGAGCGCGCCGCCGTTGATGTTGGCGTCGCCGACCACCGTCACGTTGACCCCGCGCGCCTCGGCGTGGAAGCTGGAGAAGCTGAAGCTGACGGCATTGTCGCCGCCATCGCGGCCGACGTCGGTAGTGTTGGTGGCGAGCGACGTGGATGTCGAGGAGGAGGAGGCCGAGGTGGCTAACAAGAAGAGGAGTACGAGGAAACGAGTGGCCATCAATGGCGATCGAGACCGACCTCCACACTACTGCTACTGTGTGTGTTGTGTTTTCACGGTCGCTTCCCCTTATTTCGACCAGGTTTCCTGTGAGATTCGCGTTGGTCTTTCTAGCGGTAGAGACGACGAGAAAGGTTTAAAAAAAACAAGAAAAAAAGCAGAGGAAGAAAAGATTAGTGCAGTGGCAAAGCCGCGTTCAGATCTCAAGAGTCTGGGATGAAGAATTTGCAGAGAGGAAGGTGCAAGGGCAGGCAGGATAGGACACGCTTTTTCTTGTTTTTTTTTTCACAATGGCTGCATCTGAAATGTTGTTTCGAACAAGAATGTAAACTTACACATCATCAAATTCTCTTCTTTAAAGGAGAGATTTTCAGAGGGCCCGTTGGTTCCCTCAGTTTGGAGGAGATTTTCATCGCATGAGAAACAAGAAAATTTATTAGCATGTCACTAATTAAGAATTAGCTATTATAAATTTTTAAAATATATTTGTTTAATTTGTAAAATATATATATATAAAATTTTTGTAAAAAACTACATTCATTTATAACAATTTAAAAAACGTGTTAATAGAAAATGAGAAGTCTAGAGTTTGGAATCGAAGAAAAGAACGTAGCCAACCTCCTTGATCCGGCCAAAAACAGTGTTTCTCAGACAACAAATCGACATGGAGTGACAGAAGCCGGAAGACATACGTTCACGGGTGACTAAAAATGGTCGCTGGACGCTGGTCACCAACTGACTGGACTGTTCAAGAGCACATGCATTCCCCCAAACCAAATCCAACTTGCAGTATCATTTCCTCTCCTTTTTCTCTGCACATACGCTGTGATTTTCCAGCAGCTTGATGCTAGTACGTACATTGCTACAACGAAAAATTAATAGCACCGTACCTGAACAAGATACTCCTGCTCCGGCTGAATTCAGAATTGGAGCGGCAATTCTGACGGAAAATCTAGCTCATGTTCAGACATTTTCTCCAGCCTGATATCGCACTGAGCATGCATTCTGTACATGGCGGGACAATCATCAGTTCATAGCCGTACCAGCCTTGAGTTGCTCAGCTCATTGCACTTCCTTTTCACCTAAAAAAGAAGATCAAAAGACCAATCCATTTCTGCTTTGCAATGTGAACTATCCAAAGCCTCGAGAATCATTTTGGTGAAAAAGATGCAAAGCTGGAGGCCCCATGATTACCATCATCAGACATGATAATTAAAACAGCAATGCAGGAGCTAGCACAGATCGATCATGTCCCTTTTGCTTTCCACCGATCAGTGGCAAGTGCTACCGGAATGGGCCATGAACATATCAAGGGATGGAATGAAAGGGATTAGCGAAAGGGGTTGTCATTGTCACAAGTCATAACTCATAACTAGTAGATCAGATCATTAGAGACCAGAATGGTTGGTGTCCAAAGGCAAAAACACCCTCTTCTTTTTCTCTCTGAAAGCAACAGTTCCATGTTGGAATTCAGCATCAACTTTCTCCAATCTATTCAGCCATCCAGGTATTTATAGCCTAATCTGAATTCTGAACACATGATGTTACATGCAGAGAAGTGCTTTGCAGATAAAAGGCACATTCGTAGTCATTAAGTTCATCTGTGATCAGTTATCTGAAGTAGCACAAACCGCACAGTTTGGTGGTGCAACCTTGTAAGAAAAACTTTTGGTTGGTCACTATACTAACTAGTATGAATGTATGATACAACAGAAAAATTTCAGAACAAGAAAAATCAATCTTAATATCTATCTACATTTTATGTTACAACACACAAAAACTATGGGAAAAAAAGCATTCTACTTGTATTACTTTATTTATAAGTTGCTTTTACAATGGCGAGTTGGCGACAAAATGCATTGCCAAGGCGGTCCAAATTTCTAAATTCATGGACACGTGTGATCATCATGACGTCATCAGCGGCCGGAGGAGAGCGCGGGGAAGAAATCGCCGGTGCTGTTCGGCGGCCGCAACCCGGCGGAGGCGGTGTCCCGCGTGGCGCGCGCCGAGTCGTCGTCGGCGGCGGTGGCGGCGGCGGCGGCGCTGCTCCCGCCGGCGGCGAGGCTGCCGCTCGCGAGGGCGCCGATGTCGATCAGGTCGTAGTGCGCGCTGGCGCCGCCATCCGGCGGCCACACGAACGACGGCTTGAGCTGCGGCACCTCGGGCGGCGGCGCCGACCCGGACAGGATCTGCAGCACCTCCGGCATGGTGGGGCGGTCGCCGGGGTTGGGGTGGCTGCACGCCAGCCCGAGCAGCAGCAGCCGCGTGGCCTCGCCGGCGTCGAACCCGTCGGTGCCGAGGCTCTGGTCCACAGCCCCGAGCAGCGCGCCGCGGCCGTGCATCCGCCACACCCAGTCCGACAGCATCGGGCACGCCGGGTCGCCGAGCAGCGCGTGCCGGCCGGTGACGACCTCGAGCACGAGCACGCCGAACGCGAACACGTCGGTCTGGCGCGTCGCCTTGTGGCCGACGGAGTACTCCGGCGCGATGTAGCCGCGCGTGCCGGCGACGCCGAGGTCGGTGAAGGAGCTGCGGTCGAGGTCGAGGACGCGGGCGAGGCCGAAGTCGCCGAGCCTCGCGCGGAAGGAGGCGTCGAGGAGGACGTTGCTGGCCTTGATGTCGCGGTGGAGCACCATGGGGCCGTACTCGTGGTGGACGTAGTGCAGGCCGGCGGCGACGTCGGCGACGATGTCGCGGCGGCTCTCCCAGCTCAGCGCCGGCCGCTGCTCGTGGACGGCGCCTCGCCGGAAAATGTGCTGGTCCAGGCTGCCGTTGGGCATGTACTCGTACACCAGCAGCAGCTGCCCTTTCTTGTGGCACCAACCTGACCAACAATTTTTTCAAGTTTTCGTACAAAATAAGTTCAGAAACTGCATGTATTTGCAATGTCTGGAGCAAAAAAAACATTGCGAGAATATCCGTTTAGGTTTCTTTAGTGTGCTTTTTTTGTGTTTTCCTTGTTTCTTTCACCTTTCTTGGTGACATTGTAAATACTTTATCTTCTCCTAAATATAACACTAGCTTAGCCTGGTTTCGGTTTAAAAAAAAACTGCATATATTTGTCGGTTCAAATTCATCAGAGAATTTCAATCACTGGAGTTTAAATTAATGGACCATTTCTGCAAGTATCGGAGAGAGAATAATGATTTTAGTTTGAAAAATTCAGAGGGGGATTTTTTTTTTTTGAAGTACTAGATGGATTAGATGATTGACCAGCTTTCAGGTTTTTGTCTTTTTTCTTAAGCAGATAAGAGTCCTAAGTTGTTGGCACGCAAAGGATTTCATAAGCGCGTCAGAATGCGAGTTGACTTATCAACGCACTAATGTGAGTTGATTGTTCAAACTAGACTTGTTTAAGCAACTACAAACCCATATCAGCACAACCATTCAAATTTGTTCAATGCATAAGATGAAATTAAGCAAATGTAATGTAATGTAATTTGAAAATTTTGGACATACCGACGAGAGGCACGATGTTTCGGTGTCGCAGCCGGTGGATGATCTGGACCTCCTTGAGGAAGTCATCGACGCACTTGGCGTCATCCCGGGTGAACATCTTCACGGCCACCTCCGTCGCCGCCGGCGGCCGGCCGTCGTCGTCGTCGACGGCGGCGGCGGGGAGGACGCCCTTGTACACCATGCCGTACCCTCCCTTCCCCAGCCGGAGCCGCTCGTCGAAGTTCTTGGTCGCCTTCCTCAGCTTCTCGAACGCGAACTCCTTGGGCATCCCGGGGAGGTTGGTCAGCGTGTGCTCCAGCCGCTCCTGCCTCCTCCGCTCCATGGATCTCCTCGCGCGCGCCATCCTCGCCACGACGAAGGCCGCGGCGGCGATGGCGGCGACGGGGACGGCGACGGCGACGGGGACGACCCACCCTTTGCTCTTCTTGTCGGCCGGGAACGTCTCGATCGTGAGGTTCCAGTCGAGGATGCAGTTGAGCTCGAAGCTGACGCCGGTGGACGCCGTGAAGCCGAGGTAGGCTCGCTCCGGGACGAGCTCGCTGAGGTCCAATGGCGAGGCGAGGACCGGGGTGGCCGGCCTCGGGGCGCCCCTCACGCCCATGTACACGGCGATGCGCCGCGCCGCGCCGTCGTACTCGATCCAGGCGGTGTAGTTCGCCGGCGCCGTCTTGTTCGTCGCGATGGTGATGTTGAAGCCGGCGAGGCTCGCCGTCTTGTTCGACGCGACGGTGCCGACGTCGAGGCCGACGTGGTTGTCGTCGGGGTCGTAGCCGCCGGGCTCCTTGAACGTGTCGAACTCGACGGCCACGAACCGGTTCGTGGCCGGGGTGGCCTCAAGCGTCGCGTTGGTGAGGCCGAGGAAGCCGCCGTGGCTTCCCGGAGGCGGCCCGTCGGCGGTCGGCGCGACGACGAAGGCGAGCCCCTCGCCGGGGCGGCTCTCGTTGTCGTAGTACACGTTCATGGAGAACGTGGTGTTGAACGACACCACGCGGGTACTAGTACTACTGCCATTGCCGGCTGCGGCGGCGGCGGCGTCGAGGCGGCGCCACAGGGTGAACGGCTCCGGCAGCAGGACGGAGCCGGACTTGTTGGAGAGGAAGTTGTTGAGGTTGCGGGAGTCCGGCGTGACCTGCAGCGCGCCGTTGCTGACGCCGGCGGCGCCGCGGAACAGCAGCGAGCTCACCGACGGGTCGTCCCGGTAGAACGAGCCGTAGCTGTAGCTCTTCACGGGCAGCCGCTGCGCGGCCGCGGCGGTGACGAGGAGGAGGAGGCACAGGCACGACGCGACGTGGCGCGGCGACGCGGACGCCATGCATGCGCGCGCCGGCGCGTGGCCGCGTGGGGGCGTCGTGACGGAGTGCAATGCGAGCGAGCGAGAGAGCGGAAGGCGGCGAGGTCGCGGTGGGAAATCTTGCGGCGTCGTCGTCGTCGAACAGTTGGTGTGTTGGTATATCTTGCCTGGGCGACCGGTGATTAACCGAAGCTGCTCGGCAAATTCGGAAATTCCTCAACGTGCAGTGTGCAGGCTAATTGACAACGACACGACACAACACAGGTATATGCATACAAAGGGAAGAGAAATGTCTAGGGTGTTCCTCCTAGCTCCACATGGTGGTGGGCCAGATGACCTGGTTTCGAAGCCCCAGTTCTTCTAATTATTTGATATTCGGTCATTTTTCTAATATTCATATCTTTTTTAAAATCTGAAAAGAAAATGACTATACAAGTGATTTTAGAGAATATATTAGATCATTCCGTAATATTCACGTCTTTTTTAAATCTGAAAAAAATGACTATACAAGTGATTTTAGAGAACTAGAGTAACATTTCCACTGGTCTTTTTCTCCTGCCCTTAGTTTTTTTTCCACTTGTTATAATTCTCGTCTGTTTTGTTTATACTGTTAACTGTAGAAAACAAACTATGGAGATGAGTTTTTATGTGGTAGCATGATTGCCCATATGCATCCCTATGACACTGACAAGCAGCTATATTCATGGAATATTTTGCGTTAAAAAATGGTATAGTAGCACCCTATATGCTGTCCGGTCCAATGGTAGAAATTCCCCACGTTTTCAGTTCACATCAGACGCCTAAAGTCATAAACTTCTATTGATAGCTAATTCGAGGAAAAGCTGATCAATGGTTGCAATGGACCAAGTGGTCAATACAGTATTACGGTATATGATTTGATTATTGATTTAATGGTATTCTATTTGGCACCTGCCGGAATGGATGGGTCGCTGTCGTCCACTCTGCATTCTGCAACGGTGGTTGACACATTTGGATGGATCCAGATCCTCTCCAGTTGAACTACTAATGCAATGCGTTACAGTGTTTCGCTTGAGTAGTCAGATTAAAAATGAACGGTGCAGATCAATCTGGTACTATAGCATCAATATTTTGCCTTATATCCAGCACTATCACATTTATACTGTGGATGTTGATCATATGCCTATAACCATGAATGGATGCTGCAGATTTTTTCTAATGCAAATTTCCTCATTTTGTACTCTAATGCGGAGGATCCCGATCCAATTTTGAAATGTTACGTAATTACGTTATCGACGTGATCTTGCCCTGCATGTTGCCGTACTAGTATTTTTTTTGCTTTCGGTTTTGGATATTTGTTCTTGACTCGGCCAACCCAAGTCGCCTTCGTTAAGTCGTGAACCAGCTAAGGTGCGGCGTACCTTGGCACGGAGCTTAATTTCATCATGATCCTTTTCAGATTTGCTATCTAGTTCCATTCAGAGAACGCAATTTGCCTCGTGATGTGTATATCAGATGCTAGATTAAACCATATAAGACTTGGGTAGTCCCATAATTTTGCTGGTTTTTATTTCCAGGATGGCAAGAACTCTTAACGATTAAGATTCAGAAAGTGCGATGGAACTTAACAGCCATGGACAAGCTTGGAGGAAAATAAAAAGAGTGAAATTGAGATATCGTTCAGATTATTAAAGCAATCTTGTTATGTTGTGCGATTCCATAGTCTATATGATGATACGAGTGACCATCTAGAAAGAGTGATCATAAAAAAAATTATGTAATTATCATTTATTTTATTGTGATTTGATTCATCATCAAATGTTCTTTAAGCATGACATAAATATTTCATATTTTGGTAATGCCAAAATTTGGTAAGGTTTTTTTTTTCATCAAAGTGAACAGGTCCGTAAGTGCAACATCTTGTTTGACGGTATCTATATATCTGAACAGTTGTTCTACATCCAAAATCTGTAGAATGTGAATGTTTGCATGAAACAGAACCTATTTCAGTCCAGGTACAAACCGTACAATATGAAATGTGGAGAGAACAGATGTCCGTCCTGCAGATAATTTATGGTTGCTTCATGTTTCTTTTTATTTATTTATTTATTTATTATATTTTTGCGAGGAGTTTCTTCATGCATGTTAGCATTCACGGATTACTCTGAACAGTAATTCGCTTGTTCACAAATTCAGTTTGTACATGGAAAGCTAGCATATGCATCCCTTTTGGGGGAAAGAAACACGCTCGTTTCAAGTTCATCACTCGCGTCAGTAGACACGTTACTCTGCATTGCATACCACTATTGCAAGTTAATTTGCATATTTATAGCGCAGTTAAGCTGTCAGTATTTTTGAAAATGCAATTTGCTCCATTTTGGCCAGCAAGTTCAAGCTGTTATGTGCACATTTTGAACCGTTGTCCTGAAACAAGTACAGTTATAATACTCACCAAATCCCAAATCACATGGGCACATGGAAATGCCAATGCTCAATATGGCAATATCTCTGAATTTGAGATGGCCAGTGGGCTAAATCTTTCGACCCTTGACTATGCAGCAGATTCACCTTGAAGGTGCGAACCAATCTGTGTGGGCTGGGCTGCCTCCTTCCGCAGATCAGGACGAAGACCCAAATATCCCTGGGCTGATTTAGATTTGGATTAAGTCCACATTAAATCCCTTAACTAGTGACTAAATCTGATTCGTATCCTTAAACCACAATACTGGGTATCTCGACCCCCTAACTATTAAAACTGGTGCAATTTAACTCACTCGGCAGTTTTAGAGGACGATTTCGTTGATGTGGCACTAACGTGGAGGTGTTGACATGGTCTTCATCCAACATGGCGTTGACGTGATATTAGAATTTTAAAAAAAATATGAGACCCATTTATCATAAAAAAAAGAATGTTATGGGACCCACTGACACATGGTACAACACATGCCATCCTCTCTTTCTCTGCCCTTCTCTTTGTCACCGCCAAATAACAAAACCGTCCTTCAAAAACTGTCGAGGAAGTCAAATTTTACTGTTTTAATAGTTAAAGGTTTGAGATATTTACTATCATGATTCTAGGATACGAATCAGATTCAGTATCTAGTTAATAAAGTAAGGTGGTGTTATGAAGATAAAGATTAAGTGTTTCACGCAAAACGATGTAATAATAACGTGTGATTAATTGAGTTTTAATTATTACAAACTTGAAAAATGGATTAATCTTATATTTTAGAACAACTTTCATATAGAAAATTTTCGCACAAAACGCACCATGTAGCAGTTTAAAAAGCGTGCCACTTTTATCTAAAAAGTTTATCCAGTTTTTTTTTTAAGAAAAGAACAGGCCAAAGTGCAAACATTTACATCGTCCGGACCGTTTGTCGTCGAAGCAGGACGGTGAGGCCCATGGCACAATCACCCTCCATATTTTGATGGACCGGTTGGGCTTGGCCCGGCCTGTTTGGAGCAAACGCCTTCTCAGCCACCCGCACCCGCGACCGCGAGGCCGCGACGTCCCCTCCGATCCGATCCGCTCCCGGGCGTGAGTGACGCGACGTCGCCGCACGCGCGCGGGTTCCCCGTGCGGCCGGGCGGTCTCCCTCGCGTGCCACCGCCCATCACCCGGTCGCGCCTCACCGTGGCGGGGTCCGGTGTCCCGCCGTGTCGGCGCGCGCATCGCCCGCCCCCCATGTGTGGAGGAGGCGACGCGACGCGCTAGTGGCCACACTGCTACTGTAACACGCGGTACTACCCGTTTTTAGCCCGGGACCTTGTACTGCCACCGCCCGCGTGTACGTACTTCCTCCGTCAAAAAAAAAAAAAACCCTCATATTCACATCCAACGTTTGATCGTCCGTCTTATTTAAAAAAATTATAAAAAAAATTAAAAAAATAAGTCACGCATAAAATGTTAATCATGTTTTATCATCTAACAACAATAAAAATACTAATTATAAAAAATTTTATATAAGACGGATAGTCAGACGTTGGCGAGAAACTACGGTTTACTTTTTTTTTTTTTACGGAGGGAGTACGTGTCATTCTCCGGCTGCGCGACCGTGAAATTGATCGCTCCTCCACTGCTAGATCTACCTGTCCATCACTCGCGTTAATCAATCAATCAATCAATCAATTAGCCACGTACTCCTCCTCCTCCATCGATCTAGATCAAACACCAGCAGCAGCAGCAATCGCTTTGAACGGAGAAAACTTCCCTACCGACGCATGGGTGCATGCATGCGTCGTCCGTCCATCCCTTGGTTTTTTTTTTGTGTGTCGACTCACACAGCTAACCCAGTCGCCTCGTGCTTATCCTGTGTGAGCCTCTCGATCAGGGGGGGTTGCGTCGCAACCCACGGGCAGGAGGGGCGAGGTTCGCTTCGGTTGCACATTACTTGTCCCGGATGGGATGGGATGGGCGGGCGCACGGAGATGGCGGCCGCTTTTTGCGCGGAAAAAGCAAAGCACGTTACGAGCCGTAACCTCCTCCGTCGTCGTCGTCGTGATCCGGATGTGTCCGTCCTTCGCGAGCGTGGATGTATGGCCTGGCTGGCATCCACACGCAACGTCGTCATCGTCATCGTACGCATCGTGGTCCATCTTGTTAGGCGCGGCCGGCAGCTGGAGGAGGGGTGTGTGCGCATCGCCACCATTCAGGCCGTGAAGGCTTAAGGACCATTGGACCATCACACACCCCGTCGCTGTTGATCGATCGAACCAGAGACACCCGTGAGGCATTTTTGCAACGCAAAAATGTTACTAAGATTTTTATTATAGAACTTCACACAGAAAAGTCTCGAGTGATCTGAGCCGTCCAAAAGCAGCTAGGGTTTACAATCTCACTTTAGGGTAAAAATGTGAATCCCAATAAGCCCCGCTCGACATCCAGATTTGGAGATAAATTTTTGCTGACAAAAGAAAAAATCTCTTTAGCACATAATTAATTAATTGTTAACTATCATAAATTTAAAAATATTTATTTGTTTTTTTAAGAACCACATATATATAGAAACTTTTTTTAAAAAAATTTCATTTAACAGTTTAAAAAGCGTGCTAACGGAAAACGAGTAAGTTGAAGTTTGGATTTAAATAATAAAACAGGACCTAAGATGGCGAATATCTATTTAATGACCCAAGGAAGGCTATTCAAATGATAAGTGTTTTCTTGTAATTTTTTTCCATAAATCTTAATGGTGAAATTCAGAGATTTCGCAAAAATCTGAAACAAACCTAGCAGTTTAGAGCTCCGAATTTTGAGAGAAAAAACTCGAACGAATTTGTGAACCCTGAAACAGAAACAAAGCAAGGACGACTTTTCTCGCATGATCTTTGGCAAAGTTGAAATGGGCAAGGCGAAACCAGGCACGCGACACGGGCACGGGCCGTCCGTACGTGTGCACCCTCTGGCCGGACGGTCGCTGTAGCCGGCTACTATTTGACTTCCAGTGGTGGTTGGCACCATCATCATCACCATGAATGTGGCCAGCAAAAGCGTCCAACTCCAGAAGGAGGCAGCGAAAGCCATTGGCCACGCACCACGCTGCAAGTGCCCGGGCAAAAAGGCGTCCGAGTTGAGCGTATCGCGCATGGTTTTCGGGCGCCGCGGCTCGCACAGCGGCACAAGCCCTCGGCTTGAGGATTACCGCTTGCCACTCGCCAGAATATCGCCGCCGTGTCCGCACGGCGATCCACACACACACGGCGCCACCGGGAAAGCGCCAAGGAAAGCATCTCATTCTCGCCACGACGCCCAACCAGACCAAGGATAACGCACAGCCCAGCTTAGCACAAAGCCAGAAACGATGCCAAGGCCACACCTCAACGCTGCCCTACCATACCTTTATTTTTGCCGAGTCAGGGGTTTGCTGCAAGTTGCAACACTGATTTCTGGACTGGTTTTATCAACATGTAATATCACTGCAGTGTACATCAACAAAAAAAAATTGACAAGAGAGCAGATCATGTGTATCATTCATGAACAGAAATCAACCAGAATTATACTGAATTAAAAAAACAGAAACTAGATTCATCAGAGGGAATAAACAAACAGTGAAAAGGGGACAAGGGTTTACTAATCAAGGGTAGAACGTATGCGTCGTGATGATGGTCCACGAAAAAGAATAGATGAGGATAAACCTGTAATCTGCCTCATTTGTATTTAGCTACATGGGTACTGTCAACGGTACCTTCCAAATTACCCCTGCTACTATGTAAAGATGACAAAAGACAGTTTCATGCTAAAGCACCGTATAGATACACAAAAATGTCAAAAAAAAAAAGAGGTAAAGACATATCGATGTAATTAAACACCATCTTGTGATACATTAAGCAGCAGATTCACAATTGCACCAGCAAAAAAGAAATCAAGGTTACTTACTCATTTTAGCCCAGAACTAATAGCGTCCCCATCTCACCTTGTGAGGGCACACTTGATACATTCCTTGTCACAGAAACTACTTGCCAACTCTGCGCAGATTCATCCAATATTTTGTCAGGGTTTCTCTGCTCCCCCAAATGCTCTGCCCCCATCCATCCACACTTCTTTTCTGGGAGGGGTTCATCCTTACAATTATATACTCTCCCGTTCTTATCAAAGTTCCAAGGAAATTCAAACAGTCAAAAGTTGTCTGGTTTCAAACCTTCTGGCTGTTGCAAGGTATTTCCTTGATAACACCACAAAACGATTACAATACAGCACCCTCTGCAGATTATATCGTACCAAAATCCAGCCTCTCCCATTTGAAGGATCTACCAGAATTAAACCGCAGCAAAGCTCGCATGAATACACAAACACAAACACAGACTGCTGCTATCGCAAGCATGGAATGGATATAGGGGCGAGCGAGCAATCCCCGTGAATGCATAGGACGTCTTAGCAAGCCAGCATCCAAAATAGCGCACTGGTTGCAAGATCTTATTTGCAATGCTTGAATTGCAGATTTATTTTTCTCACCAACATTCCCTGATTGATCCATATGAATTTCCTCTTTGCCAACCATTATAGTAACTTGGTTGTTCTTCCTGTCCACCAATTTCTGTGCTACAAGCTCATTGTACGCATTGTTGTTCCTCAACTTGGCATAAGTTTCAGGGGACTGACCATCATCATCTAGCGCTGAGTGCCAACAGCTCAAACCAATCTGTAGTGAATTAAGCAAAAAATCAGAAGGATTACAAATGTGAAAAAACTAAAAACTAACGCATACTAGCATTTACTTTGCTTACCTGTTGAGGATCATCTGTCAAAGCATCAACAATATCCACTGCATCCTCAATGGATGCAGCCAGGTGCAATGGAGTCAAACCACCTGGGCCAGCTACATTTGGAAGGAAGGGGTACAATTTGGAATCATCAGGGCACACGACAACAAACTGTACAAGCAAGCGCGCCATGTGGCTACTTTTCCTTTTCACTGCCCTGTTCAGGAGATGGATCTCTGAGAGCATTTCCAGAGTTTCCTGTGATAGTTCATCACTGGCCAAACTCCTCTTGGCAAGGATTTCCAGAAGAGTTTTAGTAAGAGAGCACCAGTCCCGCTCACTTGAAAACAGCAGAAGGTATCTGAAGCGTGCAGTTGAGAAGTACATCAAATCCAAACCAGAAGAATCAGATTTTTCAGCAGATGTACTGGCAGCTGCCTTCTGGAAGAGCCATCCAAGTTCGTTTAGAAAGTGCAAAACTTCATCCTTTGGCTTTAGCCGCCTAGCATCATGAGCCTGATCATCTGAAGAGCCGTCAACAAACTGTGAACCCTCAAGCTCAGCTTCAAGGCTTCTCAACTCCTGACAAACACTTGAATTGGCAATGATAACAGGAAAGCTGTTCCCTCTGAACCTATTCTCGACCTGTATATATCAACATTGAAAGTTGAATCACCTTCTAGTGCGAACAAAGCCAATTCAATGGTAACGAGAAATTCAAATCATACAAACCTCAATGAAGTAACGTCCAAGAATAAGATGTGGTTCTCCAGGTAAGTCAAAAGTCTCAACACCTGAATCGTCATATATTGTTCCTGGATATGCAGAGCACAGTACTTCTTTTGATATGTACTTCCCCGTACTGGTACAGTGGATTCTGCATTTGATCAGTTCACAGTCAGTCATAAAGACTGGGTGGCGATATTCTAGTCAAACTACCACTGCTTTACAACTGAACTTACTGGGTGCCAGGAATTGTCAGATTACGGCCCTTAAGAATGAGGGAGGTCTTTCTCCCACCAACAACAGCAATTGGTGAGACAAAGGTCAACTCTGGGGTATTCCATGTTCTCCATGATTTTGATAAGCGGGTTGCTCCTGAAACAAGAAACACCATTTTGTAAACAACCAAATGAAATCATTGGCAAAACAACAAAAAATGAGCAGGAACAGATAACAAAATTAACACAACAGTAGTTATCTATACCATCTTTGTATGACACCAACTGGGCATCAGTTCGAACTAAAAACCTTCCTTTTCTCCAGAAGTCCAAATCGGAACCTTGGACTAATGTGTTTACTCGCTGGAGAAGATTTTCTTCAAGCTGCATAGACATTACATAGGTCCAACATTAGATATGTACGCTGTAACCATATTGCATACCTTTTTGTAGCTAATGAAGAGACAAACTTACTTCATCCCATGCAATAGCAGGCATTGAAAGATACATTGATAGTACAAGGCAACCTGGCCGAATGTATCCCTCCATTTCGTTGGGGCTGTGTTTGAGCCAATTTACAATCTGAAGAAAAAAAATCAATTACATGAGTGAAATGAAATGGGATGGGACAGGGGTTGCAATTTATCATTTTAGAAACTCATCTTCATCATACCTCTCCACGAAGGTTCCCAGGGATTGTGCTTGGCTCCTTGCCAAATAGTTTAAATATGATTCTACCAGTACGGTCCTATAAAGAGGCAAATCAAACAAGATCAGATTGAATGCATGACTAAAGTAATAAAAGGCAGTGGCTAATTACATAATAGTCCATTCAATTGTAAAATTTCCATGTAAATTTACCTGTCCATCTGAATTTGAAGTTGATGGCGAATGATCTGAACAAGAGGTTGAGGTATAACAGGATTGATATGCAGGATTTGGTGGTGAACCATTTTCAATTGGCCGTTCTGAATCCTTAAACAGCTCAAGTGGTGGTGCACGCCAAGCCCGACTTGTGCTAACCTCAACTGTCGCAATATCTTCCCCGTAGTCTGCAATACGAGCATCTTCGTCTACCGAACGGATGGGGAAAAACTTATGTGTTACAGGCGGAGATGATGATGGAGATCTCTCATCCAGAGGATTGCTACTCTCGGAAGATAAGTACTTATTTGCAGTGTCCATCTTACAAGGAACATCCTCCTCGGTGCTACCAAAGAGCCGTAGTGACAAGTATGGCGGGGTTTCTTGGTCTGGTTGCTTGTACATTTCAGGTGACCGTTCAAGAGCATCATTCTTGCGAGTGGCAGAAAATACCCGGATAGATTTCTCGTGGGAATTTACAACATTAGCTGGCTCTGTTGACTGACTCTTGCTCTTGTTATTACCACTGCTGTCACTGCTCCCTTGGGACTGAGACGTATTGCTATCAGGGTTTGATGTCGCGAGGGCAGTTGATAAAACTGCTAGCAAGTCCATGGTTGATGGCACAGCTTGCTTGTCGAATCCGTCAGCTTGCTTGTCAAATCCATTCGTTTGTTTGTCCAATCCATTGGTTTGCTTCTCGAATCCATTAGTTGTCCTTTGAACAGAATCTTGTTGTTGGCTATGTGACGCATTCAAATCAACAGCTTCTGATGGAGGAGACTTTGAAGCAGAGTTCCCGTTATTTATAGAGTTTATTTTACTTATAATCTGGACCAGATTGTCTTTATCTGGTATCGGAGGGATGCTGGGCAGTTTACCAACATTACTGCCTGCCATGACAAAGAAAACAAAATAACCAGGTTAAAATCACAAGGTAATAACTTAGTGTGTCAAGTTCAGTAGTCGATGTACGTACCTTGCAAGCGTGCAATAACCGTGATCAGATTTACAATATCCTGTGTCCTATTTGCTGCATTTTCCTGGTTTCCAGGTAGCAGCAGCTGCGAAGCAACATCTGTTGGCTGGGTTTTTCTTCGCCGCCTGTTGTGACCGGCGAGCCTACGTCTGCAGCTCCTCTTACCCTCATCAAACTCAGAGAGCGGGTGAAATCTAAATGATTGACCAGAAGAACCAATTTATTAGAAACTAAATGCTCTTAGCCTACATAAACATCAGCACCACCATTGGATAGAGAGTTTCTCTGGCCCAATACACACGCCGTAGCAATCGATCACACCATAAACATAAATTCCTAAACGTGGCATCATGAGAAGGAATCTTGCCATGAAAATTTTCGAGAGGAGCTGTAGCTATCATTACCTACTGCACTGCTGACAGAAGCGCTGCATCTGGTTGCCAACCAGCGCCTTCGTGGTCTTGCCGTGGATCTCGCAGACTTTGTGTCTCCGGTGATAATCCTTGGCGTTGGTCAGATCCGCCCTGCAGTCATCCACCTGGCACATCGGGTAGCTTCCGCCACCACCGCCTGAGTTTCCACCGCCTCCGCCTCCACCTCCTCCTCCACTGGCACTTCCAGGCGATCCAGACCGAACCCTCTTGCTCGGCCTAACAACTGGCTCCTGCGCCGGCGCCGACGACGCAGGCGGAGAAGGCGAAGAAGACACGGTAGTAGCCGCCGGGCTCACATCCATCGGCGTCGCCGCGTCCTCCCGCAGGCCGAGCTGAAGGTTCAGCCCACCGCTACCCCCGCCGCCCTGCCGCAGCGCCTCAGCAGCCTTAGCCGCCGCCGGCGGCGACTGTTGCTGCTGCTGCTGGTGGTGGCTCAGCCCCGCGTTGACGCGCAGCGCATCGGAGGACGGCTTGGCGGTGAGGGCGCGGCTATCCCAGTCCCACATCCTGGGGTTCCAGTTCCCTCCTCCCTTAGCCTCCGCCGCCGCCACCGCGGCGGCCGGCCACGGGTTCCCGCGCTTCTTCGCCGCCGTGGCATGGGGAGGCAGCGGCTGGATCTGGTGTAGGAACATCGGAGGGGCCACCTGCGGCCCCACTTCCCTCTGCATCTCTCAACACCGCCGCCGCCGCCGCCACTCGCCGCCGGCCAAAACCCGATCCACCCCTCTCCGGATCTGCAAACCCCACCACCACACCACCCCGATCAAATCAAACCGCATCAGCAACCCAAAAAAAAACTCCACACAACATCCACAGCAATCGATTCGAGCACAACCCCCCCGTTTACCTTTTCACGCACGGCACCTCACGCAGCCTCTCTTCAACTCCTCTTCACGTCAACCTCATCGGAATCGAGAAATGGAAGAATCGGCGGCGAGAAGTGGATGAAGGAAGCAACCAACCAACCAGGGGGATCGCGCGGTCGGCGTGAGCTGGGGAAGAGAGAAGGGGAGGGAAGGGGAGAGGGGGAAACGAAGGTGGAGGAAGGTGTGAAGAGGAGACGGAGACCGAGGTGAAGAGGAGAGGAGGAGAGGGGGTATCGACTATCGAGTCGAGGCCGAGACGGCGCGAGAGGAGACGCGACGCGTGGGAAGGGGAAGCCAAGCAATCTCGCGCACGCGCACGCACGCACGCACGGGAGGGAGGAGGTTGGGTTCGCGTACGCAGTAGTGGCGTCCTGGGGCGGCAACGTACGGGAGTCGGGGGTGGCAGCGGCGGGTAATTAGCGGGAGGAGGCAGGGGCGTGGTGGTGGTGGTGCGAATCACTGTAGGACCCAGCAGCACCACGAGTGGGGGCGCTGCCGCTGCTGCGGCCACCACCACACGTACTCGTACTCGTACCGCGGCGTGCACCAGCGTTCGTTCGTTCGTTCGTTCGTCCCGGTGCACCTCACCGGGGAGATGGTGCACGGTGACTCACGGCACATGCATTATTGTGCGTACTCCTACAGCCCTACTGCTATAATACCACCCCCACCACGACGCAACCCGCTGCTACTGCTCGTACACCTCGAGTTTAACCGAGGCCGAGTTTAGTTTTAAAATTTTTCTTTAAACTTTTAATTTTTACATTACATTAAAATTTTTTTATATATAAACTTTCAACTTTTTCATCATATCGTTTTAATTTCAACCAAACTTTTAATTTTAACGTGAAATGAGATGAACGGGTCAGTATTATTTTTTTTATACTACGTGAGGCAAAAGGTTTGACCGGATTGGGCCAGGCTCAGGCAGGTAATGGGATCTGTGTGAAGGGTAAAACGGGGAGATGAGAGGACGACGTCGGGTGGGGCCCACACGCTCGCGTCTCGCCTCAATTATTTGCTGTCCTTTGGGATTCCTTCCTCTGGACGCCCGGCTCCCTCCCCTCTCCCTCCTCCGGTACGAAACGAAACAGCAGTAGTACGACACCACCACCAATCCCACCATGCATGATGCATCCCGCACCCGCACGCCGCTACAGCGCGCCACCGTTTTTTTTCTTTTTTTTTTTACTTTCTCTGCCTGCCTCCTTTCGCTTCCCATTTGCGCCTTATTTATTCGGCTTCGCTCGCTGCGCGGCTCGGCGCCCGTACGTACCGCGTGTCTCGTCAGCAGTGGCCGTGCGGTTGGTTTATTTACGGACTGGACCAGCTTGCGGGTGTGCCTTTTTCTTTATTTATTTACCACAGTACACCCGTACTCATCGCTATAAACACATATACTCCAGAATTTGTTACTCATCGCTATAAACACACGTACACCAAACTTTACAAAGACAATAAATTTTCGGCTGGTTATCGTCTTATCGATTTGTGGAAGCTGGTCATTATTAGCTTGTTTCCGTACCGCGTGGACCTAGAGCCGTTGGTTTTTACCAGTTTTCAGTAAACCAATATAGAGTAGTTTTTACTTTAAAAAATGATAAAGTAAACCGTAACGCATACTCTACTCCATGAGTATCTTTAGAAAACTGTGACGATATAGATTAACCACTCTACCCATATAAGCACATCCAAATGACTTGGTTGGTATAATTTAAGAATGTCGAAGTTACCACGGACGTCTCACTGACGATGGGTATGTCGCTTACCACTGAAATTATAATTAGCCGTAAACGTGAGCTCCCCATATTAAGTCTATAACTTGAACTTGGTTGATCTAGTCCCACCACAAGAAACTAACTGGTTGAGCTTGCGTGTGTGTTCTTTGTCCACTTTTCTTATTTGTACTCTCTCCTTTTCGCACACATACATTTAAAACAAATAAACATACTTTTTGTAAAAATAATTACTTTAAAATATTATGTTAATATATTTTAGAAGTTTTTATAGCTAATATTTAATTAATTATGAGCTCTACCATTCAGTTTTGTGCCAGGTTGCATGTAAATTTTTCGCGCCATTGAGGTGAAAGATGCGCTTTACAATACGATCTTGTACTACATTTTTGTTTGCGAGAATCTTAGCATGGATATCATGGTAAGACGAGCGTTATAAGTAAATCTTAGCACGATGAGTGCATCTAATAATCCAGAGGCGAACTGTCCTCTCATTAGGACTAGCGGGCAAAGCCTAATCCTTTGCCTTTTATTTGACGAGTGAAGTGATTCATCGAGGTTAGGTGCTTAGGATTAGATAGGCGAATCATCGGTAGTAACACGAGAGGATATATGGAGTATAAGCGATCGAGTTTTAACAGGGATGCTATAAAAAGAAGAATATAAATTTCCTGATAATTTATCAGATCACTAATAATCTTCGTTGATGCATGAGGTATGATGACGAAACTCCCAAAAAATTGACAGCCAAAGAAACTTCAATTTGGATTGAACTAATATTCAATAAAGTGGAGACAGTACCATTCTACCAAACCTGAATAGATGATCACATGGTAAACCTCATCGTTTGCCTATATTCTCTAATGAGTCAAAACGGCTTATGAGAGAATAAAAAATATTTTATAGGTAAAAGTTTTATATATTTGTTCGTAGCGATTTAAAATTCAATGCTATAAAGAAATTATGTTGAAAGTATCTTAAATCAACTTCAAAATCAAGTTCGTAAATTTAAATTTTGGCTTCTGCTTGGCTTATTAGGCTAACCGATGGGATTTTTAGTTCTACAATCATTGTTTTTTTTCTAGAACCTTGGCAAAAATATAAATGAAAATAGCCTGGCAAATTATACTTCAAAATGAAAATCACGGACAAGGATCGTACGTAGTAATGCAAACTATCAACAGTACTGGTCCATCGTTAAGCCTGGGCCTTGGGTTCACTCATGGTTCCATGTGCACGTTTACAATGTCCATGTGACTAATCACCAGCAATTGATGCAAACACACACCATTGTCTAGAAGAAAAAAAAAATTGGGTATCAATCAGCAGAGTATACAAGTACGTTTAGGACAGCTTCGTCCATGTTTTCTTTTTCTTGGGCAGGACAGTCCTCTGCTTTTATAAATTGTAGGTGCATCGATCGCATCTTGCTTTGCTAATGGAGAGCACTGTGGAAAAAATGTCTCGCTAACGATGTGACAGATTTTTCGATCGTGACACGATCGATGCAGAGTGTAGAACTTGCTGTAGGTTAAAAGACTGATCATTCAACGTTACTGTAGATTGAGGGATTGATCTTCCGAAAAGATTGTAGATTGAGGACTGGTTGTGAAGAGTGTGATTTAGGTTACCGGCAAAAGCACCCTTTAAATACATTGATAATTGTTGCATTTCTTGTTTTGAACGCAATATTTTCTTTTCTGTACTCAGACAGGAAACTGACATGTGTTGTTTTGGATGAGAAATGGAGAACCACAATAAAACATAATTTTTTTAGACAATAAAATTTATTTTGATCTTTGTTTCCAAAAAGTATAACCTATTATTACAGAGTTTGTTGGTCCAATAACTATGAATTACATAATCACAGTTTGATTAAAAATAAGAAAACTACTTACAATAATAGCCTAAATATATACTCCACCCGTCCCATAATATAAGGGATTTTGATTTTTTGCTTCTATTGTTTGAACACTCGTCTTATTCAAAAAAAATTGGAATTATTTTTTTTTGTGACTTACTTTATTATCCAAAGTATTTTAAGCACAACTTTTCTTTTTTTATATTTGCACAAATTTTTTGAATAAGACGAGTGGTCAAATAGTACAAGCAAAAATTCAAAATCCCTTATATTATGGGACGGAGGGAGTAGCTACCAAATTGCTAAACCTCCATCTATAGTTAATGGGAATCTACAAAATCGTTGTTTACCCAACAACTTGCAAGTTATATAAAAATATATATAGTTATTGTCTTCCTCAAACTAGAAAATATAATTTGTGAAATCAGAGACCGATCATTATGCCGATTAATTTTGAGCTGTAAATTAGTCATTCGTCTGTATCTTGCTACCGCCGTAACCATTGAAGCCAGTTCGGCAGGAACACCACACAAATGGGACCTCTAGTGCGATGCCTCCAAAAAGACCACGACAAATATAGTCATGGATCGTGGTGTCTGGATTGTAGCCTCATAGGATTGCACTAATAAAGAAATTATACATACATGAAGCTTTGTGCATATTTATGAAAGAACAAAAAAAATTCAAACATGAGCTCCAATAAAATTCTTAGTCTTTAACACATCCTAACTTATGTTGTTGTTTTGTGATATTATTTTGTATAGAATTTAATTAACAAGTCAAAACAGTTGGATCCTTCATATATTTCTTAGACTTTGTCCTTGTAGCATGTGGATTTGTTTTGTGTGCAATACCATTGTGCACCTAGCTCTTCATGGCGCAATAAACAAAAGATCGTACCGCGCGTACATGGTTATAATTATCATTTGTATTATTATACTGCAATGATAGAGGGTTTTGGAGACCGGGGATTAGAAAAGTACAGTGCTGGACATGGTCCGTACCCTCTATTTTCTTTCTCACGTCAGTTTCTGTGGGTGCAAACCGCAGGCAGTAGCTGGGCAAGGTGATAGCTAACGAATTCCTCCTAGTATTTTGCAGCAGTACGTACATGGGTAGTTATGGGGATTCATAAGGTCAAAGGTGAAGCATTGTATTGGAATCCAAGTTCGTTTAGCTGATCGATTTGTACTATAGTGTGATATGAAAGTGAATAGTATAGTAAAGACAAAAGGCTAATCATAAGATTTCATTTATGTTTCAGCGGATAAAGATACACATGAGAGGCCAAGCAAATAATGTAATCGTGTTATGTTGCCGGTATTTGGACATCAGATTAGAATTGTCGCTAATTCAGGGGAAATAAGGAAAACTTAATTTTGAAAGATGAGGAGAACATGACAATATGGATGGAACGCTTTAGTATGGTACACATTTTCTTGATTTCCATTTGTAAAACTGCATTTTGGAATGTGGAATATCCAAATTGCACAAACAAACTGTACGTGTTATGGGTGAACTTAAACTATGATTAGGTTGCTGGTGGTGTAACCTGTTCATCTAGGTTCGAGTTTTTGATATGATGTTCGAATTTACAACTATTTTTTTTATGATAGGCAACGTATACATGGTGGTTGACAATGAGAAATACATGCTGATTTTATCAAGCTTACCTATATTTGGCTAATTTGTGTATATGACCGTGTATTTGAGAAATGAGAACAAAACTTAACAAAACACGGAATTGTCA